ATTTTGAAGACTTAATATGAAATATATATGTGTATATATAGATATATATAATTTGCATATTGATTACATGTTATAATGAAATGTTTAATGTATTTAATTCAATAAAATACATTATCAAAATTATTTTACCTGCTCCTTTTTGCTTTTTTAATCTGGCTATTAAAAATATTAAATTTACAGCCCTGGCCTGTGTGACTCAGTGGTTAGAGCATTGGCCCAAGTACAGAAGTCAAAACTTCGATTCCCCGCTAAGGGTACATACCTGAACTGCAGATTCGATCCCCGTCCCCTGTGGGAGGCAACCACTTGATGTGTCTCTGTGTGTCTCTCTCTCTGCTCTTCCCTTCCACTCACTCTAAAATTCAATGGAAAAATATCTGGGTGAGGATTAACAACAACAACAAAAAAAAGTTGGCAGAGGTGGTGAGAATGCCAGTGGTAAGGATTAACAACAACAACACAAAAGATTTAAAATACATACATGGTTTGCATTATATTTCTGTTAGTGCTTCTCTGAAAAACTATGCAATAATGAACATGTTACTTCACATAAAAAGTTCCATTGTCATTTTATATACCATCCCATCTTAATATATTACTCTAATCCTCAACTGTCCTGACCTTCTCCCATGCCTTTTAAAATTCATATACATGATTTAAATATATTTTAAATTAATGATTACCGTTTCTGCTACTATCCACTGGTCACATAGGCACAATATAAACACAGAGGCATAATTCCATGGTTAAACTTGCAGATTCGCATGCCAAACTGGCCAAATTCAAATCTCAGGCCTGCCCTTTACTAGATGTATAACTATGGGCAAGTTATTAAAATCTTTTTGTGTCTCAGTTTCCTCACATGTAAAATGAGATTAACAATATGATTATTGAGGAGATAAACAAGTTAACATATTAAATAATTCTCAACAATTAGAAAACATTATTATTAACTAGAGGCCCAGTGCACAAAATTTGTGCACGAGTAGGGTGCCTAGGCAATCAGGGCTGATCTGTGGGGCGACTGGCGTGGGGGAGCCCCGGCTGGCACCCACCTTGGCTGGCCTGAGACCTGAGGGCTTGGGGCAGCTCTTGCATTGAGCGTCCGCCCCCTGGTGGTCAGTGCACATCATAGCAACTGGTCATTACACTGGTCCTTCTACTGTTAGGTCGATTTGCATATTAGGCTTTTATTATATAGGATTGTACAGTTGATTTATCCTTTAGGACTGACAGCTTAAAAGAGAACAATGGCCTGGCAGGTGTGGGTCAGTGGTAGAGCATCAACCCATGAAAAAAGAGGTCTTGAGTTCAATTCCCAGTTAGGGCACATGCCTGGACTGCAGGCTCCATCCTCAGTGTGGGGCATGCAGGAGACAGCCAATCAATGATTCTCTCTGATCATTGATGTTTCTATCTCTCTCTCCTTCTCCCTTCCTCTCTGAAATAAATAAAATATATATTTTTAAAAAGAATAAAATGCCTAGGAATAAATTTAACAAAGGAGGTGAAAGACCTGTACACTGAAAACTGTATGAGATTGATGAAAGAGATTGAAGACACAAATAAATGGAAAATAGTTCATGTTCATGAATTAGGAGAATTAATATTGATAACATGTATTACCAAAATAAATCTACAGATTCAATGCAATTTCTATCAAAATTCTAATGGCATTTTTGACAAAAAATAGAAAACACAATCCTAAAATTTGTATGGAGCCACAAAAAACCCAATAGCCAAAGCAATCTTGAGAAAGAAGAAATTATGTTCCCTGATTTTTAAGCTATATTACAAAGATGTAAAAACAAAACAGCATGGTATTGCCATAAAAACAGACACATAGATCAATGGGACAGAACAGAGAGCCCAGGAATAAACCCATGCATATACAGTCATTTAATTTATGAAAATGGAGACAAGACTATAGGACAGGCAAAGCACAGTATTTTCAATGAATGGTGATGGGAAAACTGGACAGCCTTGTGAAAAAGAATAAAACTCGGTCACTATCTTATACCAAACACAAAAATTAATCCAAATGGATTAAATACTTGAATGTAGGACCTGAAACCATAAAATGCATAGAAAAAAAACAGGTGGTAAACTTTTTTTTTTGACATGGAAAACACCATTTATTGACCTCTAAACCTAATTTTAAAAAAACTCTGCACAAGTGTTTTATGAGGACTTTGACCTTTTCTTGCTGCTGTGCTCACTGACGTCAGCTTGCTTCTGTTTCCGTAGCCTCTGTCTCTGTTTTCTGAGCTGCTAAGAGGATTTCACGCGCCCGTTTCCGCCGAAGCCTCTCAGCATTTGTGATTACCATGGGATGCAGAGGGAAAAAACCAGCAAGGCCCAGAAGCTTTTCCACGGGTTTAGAGAGGTGGGCCCCACAGCTTATCCAATGCCGGATCCGCTCCAGGTTGAGCGCAACAGAGTTTTTCTCCATGGGTGTTGGGCAATGGATCATAGGAGCTCAGCTGCTCCACGAAACGGCCATCCCTGGGGAATTTGTTGTGAGCAGCCACGATGCGGTAGAAAGGCCAGTTGGTACGGCCGCCCAGAGCAAGACGGATGGTTAGGTGGCCTCCATGGTAGGCCTTGTGGAAGAGAGAAGTGAGCTGGACCATGGTGCTTCCTACTATAATGACCTGGATTCTTTGGGAAACATAATCTGAAGTGTCGCCCCTTGGTGGAGCCCACCCCTTTGGCTAGGCAACACGATGTCCCCTGGCCTCCCCTACCCCCCAGTGTCTTGTGTCCACTGGTTATGCTTATATGCATGCATACAAGCTTGACAGAGGTCTTAGTAAATGTTTGAATGGATTCAACTTTAATAGCAAGGGAAACAAAAGTAAAAATAAACAAGACTACATCAAATAAAAAGGCTTCTGCACAGCAAACAAAAGAACAAAATAAAAAGACAACCTAATGAATAGGAGAAAATAGTTGCAAATGATCTATCAGATAGGGGTTCATATCCAAAACTCTATAAAGAACTTCTACAACTCAATATCAAAACAAACAATCCAATTAAAATAGGCAGAGAATCTAAATAGACACTTTTCCAAATAAGACATCCAAATGGCCAATACATACATGAGAAGATGCTCAACATCCCTAATCATCAGAGAAATGAAAATCAAAACCACAATAAGATATCATCTCACACTTGTCTGAATGGCTATTATCAAAAAGACAAGACATAACAAGAGGATATAGAAAAAATGAAATCCTTGTACAACACTGGTAGAAATGTAAATTGGTGTAGCCACTATGGAAAACAGTATGGACGTTCCTCAAGAAATTAAAAATAGAATTATCATATGATCTAGCAATTCTATTTCTGGATATTTACCCAAAGAAAACAAAAACACTAATTCCAAAAGATATATTCACCCCTATGTTCATTGCAGCATTATTTATAACTAGAGGCCCAATGCATGAAATCCATACAAGAGTAGGCCTTCCAGCCTCGGCTTCATGCAGAAGATCATCTGGACAGTTGTTCCGCTGTTCGGCCATTTGGTCGATTTGCATATTACACTTTTATTATTATAGGTAGCCAAGACAAGGAAACAACCTTAAGTTTCCATCGATGGAAGAAGGGATAAAGAAATTGTGGTATATGCAATAAAATACTACTCAGTCATAGAAAGAATAAAATCTTGCAATTTGTGGCAACATGAATGGACCTTGAGGGCATTATGCTAAATGAAATAAGTCAGTAACAGACAAGTACAGTATGATCTCACTTGTATGTGGAATAAAAAATAAAAGAAGAGAAAACTCACATATACATAGAACAGATTGTGGTTGCCAGATGGGAGGGGAATTAGGGGATGAGCCAAATGGGTGAAAGGGGTCAAGAGGTACAAACTTCCAGTTATAAAATAATTAAGTCATGGGGATGTAATGTACAGAATGATAAGTATAGTCAATAATATTGTATTGTATATTTGTAATTGGTAATAGAGTAAATCTTAAAAGTTCTCATCACAAGAAAAAATGTTTAGCTTTATAGAGTGATGGATGGGAACTAGAGCTATTGTGGTGATTATTTTGCAGTGTATACACATCTCGGGTCATTTTGTTGTACACCTAGAAATAATATATTATATGCCAATTATACCTCAATAAAAATACCAAACTAATGAGATATAGCACACTACCTAAAAATTTTTGCTAGTCTTTATGAATTGTGACAAAGCAATACAGTTTACGTGACTAGAATACTATATCATAAAATAAAAATGCTAGTGTGGCTTTTTTAAAACTTGCTTCTCCAATTAAATTACCATGTTCTGTTTATAAATAAATCTCTCTTCTATATTGATACATCAAACCATAGCCTAAAATGATAATGTTAGCAATATTAATGAAAATTTTAAAATTTCTCGAAGGCATAGTCTTAGACATGTGTCTTTTATGTCTGCCAGTTTCTTTCTTTTCTTTAATTCAATAATCCCTTAAATTGACCTGCTACAAGAAATAAAACTTAAATAGATTAAAAATAATAACTATGATTGATATATTCAATAAGATAAGGACATATGTGGGGAATTTCACTAGAGCTAGAATACATGGGTGGGAAAAAGTAGGTTTTACAGTTGTAATACAAATAAATACAATAATTAATAAATTATAATACAAGAATAAACTGTTTCATGTACTCACAACTGTGACCCTACATTTGTCTACCCACGCATATATGTGAAAATAAATCAAATATAAATTCTAGAACTAAAATATACCATAACTAAAATTAAGAATAGATGGTTTTAACTACAGAATAAATAATCCAGAAGAAAACGTAAGTGAACTAGAAAATAAATTATATTTCAGATGGAAGTACAGTGAAAAAATATCATGTAAATATTAAAAAAGAACATGAGGCATAAGGGATAGGATATTTAAAGATCTAATATTAATGGAATTTGAGGTAAAAAAGGAGAGAATGGGGTACAATTATTATAGATAAGATACTGATTTTTCCTACCTGTTTCATAAACTAACAAATGAGACTCAAAGGGATTACCGTATTTGCCGGCGTATAAGACGACTGGGCGTATAAGACGACCCCCTAACATTTCCACTCAAAATACAGAGTTTGTTATATACTCGCCGTATAAGACTACCCCCTCTTCCGCACACCTTCCACATACCAAATAAAAGGTAAAACAATATCAGATTTGATTTTAACATTTTAATTTATATTCAAATGCTTATGACATGCAGGAAAACTGTCACAAGGCTGTATGTAATCAAACATATACATAAAACAGTGCAAGTTTATTACCGGTAAACATACCGGTAATTCACTAAAGAAAACACACTCTATAGACTGGTACCGTAGATGCTTCTCAGGAACACAGGCAAGCAGCCCACAACCTAGAGGGACTGTCAATGATAGAAGTAAGATAACAAATAGAGGTAGAGAGCAAGTGCCGGGCAAGTCCCTAGCAA